TAGGTTCAAGTGATTCTCATGCCTCAGCCTCCCAAGTAGCTGGGATTATAGGCACACGCCGCCATGTCCTGCTAAGTTTTATATTTTTAGTAGAGATGGGGTTTTACCATATTGGGCAGGCTGGTCTCGAACTCCTGATCTCAGGTGATTCGCCCATCTCGGCCTCCCAAAGTGCTGGGATTACAGGCACGAGCCACCATCCCCGGCCCTCCTCCTTTTTATCTGACCTCCTCTTTATTGGCCTCCAGGCACCCAGCATCCTTCTGTGTCCCCCAGGTTACTGAAGAGCAATAGCCACTTGAATGAGGAGTGCGGGGAGCTCCTCCTGCAAAGAGGAACCACGAAGGTGGCCGCAGGTAGGGGACTCCGCTGTCCAAGGCCGTTGTATATTTGTCACTGTTCTTACTGAGGATGTCAAGGACTTGCCCTAGACAAGGCAAGATACTAAGCACTTTGCAAACAGCATCTCACTGAATCCCCCTCCTGCCTCACTCTCATCCCATTTACAGCAGGAGAAACTGAGATTCAGTGTTGCCAAGTGACCCGGGCGAGGCCATACAGCTACTGCACATCCCAGAAAGCCACACTCTGGGAGAGTTTGATCAGGTGTCTTGGACTAAATGTTGGTGAATGTTGTGGCCATGCTCTGCTGGACCTGGGGTGTGTGCCCAGCATCAGGGGCAGGCTGTGAGGACATCCCAGGGGCTGAGTGACTTGGGAGAGGCTTTTCACAATGGAGAGGTAGACCTGGTCTGTCTTGGCTTCAGGGAAGCTTCTGGCACAATCAATTTCTGCACATTGCTTTTTACCCAGGAATTTTTTTTCTTTCTTTCGTTCATTCTTTTTGAGACAAGGTCTCACTCTGTCATTTAGGCTGGAGTGCGGTGGCACCATCATGGCTCACTGCAGCCTCCACCTCCCGGGCTCCAGACATCGTCCCACCTCAGCCTCAGTAGCTGGGACTACAGGTGTGAGCCACTGTGCCTGCCCAGGAAATCTTTTCTAAGGTGCACTACAGGCCCCGCTCAGTGAGGCTGCAGTGAGCAAGAGCCCACCGTCCCCCTCTCAGTGGGGCCAGACCTCCAGCATCACAACTCCAGGGGCCGCCGCTCACACAGGGCACCCCCTGGAGTTGAGCAAGGAGGAGTCCGGGCAGAGGCCTAGATTCTTGGAAGAGAAGCAGATGATAAACCGGTCAACAGGCACATGAGCGGTTAGACATTCTCTGGATGTAACGAGGGAAATACACACGCTCTGGAAGAGACTGGTGGCGGGGCCTGCTCCAGAGGGGTGGTCCGGGACGCAGCTCTCC